AAAAGAGGTAACGACCATTAAAGAAACTAGCGTTACACCTGCAAAAGAAATGGCAGATGCCACTGAAAAGGCCCCTAGTACTGACAAAAGAGAGGAAACTACAGTTACCAAAGAGACCACCACAAGAGATAAAAAGGACACGATAGAAGAAATGTTTATTATCTCTAACGGGACATCCAAGCCAACTATCCATTTCCAGGAGGTTACTGACACGAGAGATGAGCCTCATCCAGCTGACCCCGGGACTCTGCCAGTAAGAGAAGAGCCTGAGATCAACAAGCCTTTGATACAAACTGCAGACTTGCCAATTTTAACTGGAGAAACACAAGGTAATCCCATTTCAGTAGGTACAAAAGCACCAATAACTCCACCAGAGAGCACAACACGAGTAAAAGGACGTGTAAGACCTTTGTATCTGGTGCCACAAGAACGTGGCACTCCTGTCCTGGTGGTCAGTCAAAACCATGGTGCTACAGCTGCCAGCACAGTACCTCAGTTTTCAATTGTGGTGTTAACAAACTTAATTTTAGAGCGTGATTTTGTTTCAGTAATTAGTGCTGCTGACAGACATTTGCTGTAAGTACCATAGAAGATGCAAACAGAAAGGCATCAAAGATAAGGAAATTTTGAAATCCCAGAAAAATATCCCTAGGGAGGTGAGGCTGAATATCCACCATTACTCAGGGTACCTAACCTGGCAGTCTGTAGTCACATAAGACAAGAAGCCTCTTCCTTTTATTCTCTTTCCTCTGTGGTTTTTGCCACATTTTTCATGTCCTCGCTGTTTATTTTAATCAGCTAGAGCATTTTTTTCAATCATATATTGACAGATATTTTGGAGAGGAAAAGAAAAAAGGTTTTCAGATAGCAAATACTCAGAATTTTGCCCAAAATAGATTCATCCTTGCTTTATATTAAATTGAAAGTAATTTATTTAACAAATAAGGGAGGGAAGGTGCCTACTAGAGCAGCTTGGAGAAACATTCTAGAGCACAAAGAAACGAAACAAGGGATGTAGCATAAGGGTCTTTTTCTGAATTACTGGTACTTAGGTAAGCAATTAAAAAAAAAAAAAAAGTTATTCATACCTGGTCATGTAAACAGCTGGCCTTGCACTCCTGGGACCAAGCCATGAAAACTAAACTTGCCAAGAACAGAATCTCACAGGACTAATCGAGCCGTGCTGCTCTGGCCAAGCGTTAAGCAAACCCAGACGCTCGTGTTTTGCAGCCACCAGGGACGAGAAGGACCTGTGCAGCGGGAAGCCGGCGGACGGCATGGTGGCCCTGCCCAACGGCACCCTGGCTGTTTTCCGAGGTATGGTCGGCATCAGCCCCGGTCTCCCTTTCCTCTTCCTTTGCCCCCACCTGCCGGGCCTGGCCCGCTCCTGCCGGCCGGGCGGCTCCTCTCTTCCCCTGCCTTTCTCCCTCCGTCCGACTGGGGCTCTTCATGCCGCACAGGTCACTATTACTGGCTGCTGAACGGCCGAAGCCCACCGACGACCAACCCCCGCCGAATCAGCGACGGCTGGGGCATCCCATCGCCCATCGACTCCGTCTTCTCCAGGTGCAACTGCGACGGCAAGACCTTCTTCATCAAGGTGGGTGGGGCGGGTCAGCCTGGAACGAGGCACAGGTGTGGAGAGGCAGCCCTGCAGACGAGGGGCCTCTCCTTGCTCTGGGGCTGCACTGTTCATTTTCTGATTAACAAAAGGTGTTTTCAAATAGTTGGAAACTCTGTAGGTGAAATGTTTCTTCCCCAAGCCCCCTCCTCGTCTGCCTTGAGATGCTGCTCGTTAGGAAACACCTACCTTCTGTGAGCTTTTCCCTGTTGGAGACAAAGCCCTGACAGAACAACTGTTTATTGAGTAATATTTATATATAAGCCACACTTCAGAAAAATCCATCTCTTTAAAATATGGGTGTCTATGGTCATAGAATGAGTGACAGAATCACAGAATAGTTTGGGTTGGAAGGGACCTTTAGAGGTCATCCATTCCTGCGGGGGCACCTTTCGCTAGATCAGGTTCTTTCCCTCGCACAGGCATGGCCTAAATTTGTTCCTAATCCATTTCCCTCCCTGGAAGATGATAATGAAATTCTCACACCTCGTTACAGACTTTCATGCAGTTATTTCCCAATTAATCATTCAGTCCTGGAATTCAAACCTCTTTTTCTAGCTGTGAAATTTATAGAGATTTAGAAAGCAAACCGCTTTGTTCAGTAACCACTAGCAGTTAATTTCTAAAATAATCTACCCCCATCACAGGTAGTGTTAGAAGACTACGTAAGGTATTTTCTAAAGTTGTAATATTTTTCCCTGTTGTTAGTGGTTACAGGAGTGGTTCCAGTTAGTTTTACAATGCAGTTAGCAAAATGCTAGTGGTATGATTATTTTTCCTGTCTGTGTTGTAACCTCTATAGCCAAGAATTAATTTCCTCTAAAGCTCGTTTTATTCCTTAAATCATTAGGGTCCCTTATACTGGCGTTTCACTAACGGTGTTATGGATAAAGGCTATCCCAAACCTCTTGCAAACGGATTTGCAGGGCTAAGTGGGAAAATAGTGGGAACTCTCCCCGTGGCAAGATACAACAGCAGACCAGAATCTGTTTATTTTATCAAAAGAGGTATGTCTCTCATTTCCACAGATGATCAAAAACTGCTTGAATTGCCTTAGTTGGGAATGCAACACAATTTTTCTTGATGAAAGACGTATTTTCTTTCAAAACCAGAAACAAATGATTTCAGTATGCTGGGTGGTCGAAGAATAGCCTGGTTTAAAAATGTCCGTTAGCACTTAAGAGTTCCATGTGCATTTTAAAGTAAGACAGGACCGCAAGGGACAGAATCTAGCATTCTGCTGGACAAACATTAAAATAATAAACATATAATAATGATAAATAATATAATAAAATAATAATAATAAACATTAAAATAAGTTTTATTTGGTGGTAAAACTGTTCAAGTCTCAATTTAATTAGAAGAGGGAAGGCTTTAATCTTACCAGTTCATAACTACATCTGGGAATTTCCCTACTTCCTGTTTTAAATTAATATAATTTTCTTATAATGGTAATGAGCTCACAGGAGTTATCACTACATCTAGAAGCATGTGTTGGATTTCGAGAACAAGGCTTTTTTAATCTCAAAATGGGGGAGCGGATATAAAAAGCTGAAGGCTGCAGCTGTGTTAGAACGATGCTATTGATTTCCTTTGTGTAATGCAGATAGCAGCGATATTTTGATCTACCTGATGGTTTGGCAGGGTGGTTCTTTTTTTGTTGTTTTTGTTTAGTTGTGGGTTTTTTTCTGTTTTGTTCTTGCTTTGTTTTAACCAAATGAAACAAATGCCTATTTCAGACGGCAACATGCAACAGTATGTGTACAGACAAGAACCGGCCAAGAAGTGTCAAAGAAGAACAACCCAGGTTACCATACGATACCCAGCTTATGTCCCAAGGCTTGTAATAAGGCGACGCTTTCAACGTGCAGTCAGAACGCCAACTGTTATTCGGACCGTCAGAATCAACTCATATCCATCTGGTAACTTACGTTTATTACGTTTTGTTCATACAACCCTTTTAATCATAAGTCATTTCCAAAACACAACATTCTATTTTTATTTTTTGCTAAATACAGTACTTTTAAAGCTTTTTAATCCAATAGATCTCGCTTGCCATAGATCATACAAGCAAATGATAGCTTACAGCAGACACACTGCAACACCTCCTAATTTAAAGTTTTCTTTTGCTCACAGGAGTTTTGCGTAAGGAAATGAAAATGACTGCCTACTGGAAGGGGCTCCCGAAAGTTATTCACTACACTATATCACTACCCAACTACAATAAGCCAGATGGCTACGATTATTATGCCTTCTCTTACAGTAAGTTAAAGCTAATGCAAGTTCCTATGTACCTCAAAAGACTAGGGGATGGGGAAGAAAGAAGCCCATGTATCTCTCAGCTTCCCAAAGCATGAGGTGACCGCCTGTGGTTCTGCAAGACTGATTTTAAGCACTACCAAAATGTCCTGAGAAGTAAAATGTTGCCTGTAATTGAGAGATGTTTCGATTAAGAAGTCAATAGTTACAGGACAACTAGCAGCAATGAGGCACAATGATTCAAACCAGCCAGTTGCAGAGAACGCGTTGCTGTAAGGCTTGTGAAGTGACAAAACGCCTGATGCTTAAATGCAGATGACAGATTGAAATCCTTGGACCACTGCACAGCAATAGTTTTTTACTGGCTTGTGTGGAATTATGCTTCTAACAAAACAAAAAAGGAAGAAATGTGACCCATTTTTCTTCACAAGAAAAAAATTATTCATGATTCCAGATTAGGGGGATCCTTTCCCTCTAGCGAGGATCATGTAAATCATTCCCCATTATGTTCTGGATAATTCAGGGGCAAAAAAAAGGTCCAAGAACTAGCCATGTCCAAACAGGGGATACTAAATTAAGTCTCTGCCAGTATTATCTAATTCCAAAACTTAATATAGGTCAGTTCATACCTGGGGACCTACTTTCATAGTCAGTGCAGGATTTTTTTGTGTCCAGTTTGTTTGACTTACAAATTATTAAGACTATTTCTATGTCCTAGGCAGTATACGAGTATTTTTCCCTACTCCCTGTTTATTAGCAGTATTCTGAAATGTAGCTAAACACAAAGGACATGTAAAAAAATAGAGTTCAGGACAAAAATTCATTGTTATAAGCCTTTCAACTCCATATACGCATGTGGAACAAAAAAATCTGTTGTTCATACCTAAATGAAATTAAAAGGAAGGGTTTAACTTCAAGGTTCTTTACACGTACTAAATGTAGTTTCTGGAATTTAATTCTGCCGTATCTTCATTTCAGATCGGTACTACAGTTTGGATGTCGACAAAAGAATAGCAAGACCTGTTACCGCTCTCACAGGAAAGACTGTATCCAAAGACTGGTACAACTGTCCTAGCAAGTGATGCACAGCAGAAGATTTTAAAAAATGATGCAATTTGAATGTTGACATTTTGTCTAATTTTTATTAATAAAGACATTGAAATGTGTGCACACAAATCTAAGAATAAAATGCTGCTTTAAGCTCTGGCTTCATTACACTAAAGCAACCACGAGCAAACTGGCACTTTTGTATGCACAGCTGTAATTACAGATCATTTAACTAATATTTCCTCTGTTCAGGCCTCCTCTGCCTCCCATTGCATGAGTTACACCTGCGTTGGGAAAGAAAACAAATGCATTAATATAAATCCTTCTTGCCCTTTTAATCGACTGTTGGTACATATGATGCTTCATCCTTCCATAAGGAATTGTCGGCAGCAGAGCATGTGCCTTCTGATAAAATTTAAGTTCCCTGTCCCTCCCCTAGAGCCCAGTGACACAGAGACATTCCACTGCTGTCATTTAAAAGGAGGTTGTTGATCTGTGATCCTGTCTCAGGCCCTGTGCCAAAAAGAACAAGGATGGCATTCTTATCCGTCTTTGGAATCAGTCACCCTGGTCCGTTTTAATAATGAAGTGGTGATGGACTAGAAAAGGTCTCTGAGGTCCACCTCACTTATTTTTCTTTAAAATACCAGATACCTTTATTTCAAAGCTAGTATCAAGGGTTTTACCATGTTAAAATAATGTTGATCCAAATACAATTCATGTAAGGATTTTTCTTAATACAGAAGTTGCAAACGATAATTGATTTTCATGGTTTAACTCTATATTGTGTTACAAAAATACGTAATCCGTAAACTATTGTTTTTTACAATCAGCATAAGACATAGTGATATAATAACTGGAATCATTAATGTACCAAATAGGGAACTGAATGTAATGTTAAACCCAAAGATTTCTCAACTTAAGTTATACCATTATTTTTTTTAATTCTTTTAGAACTTTGTGAACTTTAGTATTTACTGTTATTTTACTTTCTCTCCTCTGATAAGAGCCAAGTGCCACACAGGAAGAAAGTTTGCCTGTCTGAAGAACGCTCTGACTAACATACTAACACGGCAGAGCTCACAGGGTGGCACACTGACAGCTAGGGCAGGGATGCCGTCTTACTTGATGTCTTACAAGCAAATAGGGGCATACAAAGCAGTATTTCTTATATGGTCCCCAACAAGAAGAAAGTACTAAAAACTTGTCTGAAAGAGTTAGAATTAGAACAACCACAAAGGCTTACCCCTCTGTCTGTTGAACTGACGACCACGAACACCAGTTCTCAATGTCGGTGGCTGAAGTCGGACACGTCGAAACGGCTTAGGCTGGTTACTGCTTGTGTCTGTGAGGAAGTGGAAATGCAGGAACAAATGTCTGTGTCTAGTTCAGTTTCTCACTACTAACATTTACACAATTTGACACGCATTATGCTCTCGAATTTAGAATTACAAAGGTGCATCCTTGTTTCGCTGCCATCTTCTCTGAAATAAATAAAAAGCCTCAAAGCAAGTAAGTTTGGGACTTCTTCCGTCACCTAGGTTGTAAACTGGTAACTCAACGGTGACTTACTTACCGTTCTTTGACTCTAACTGAATGAAAAAATATTTTTAAATCTGACAAACATACCAGTGGGTAGAATCACTGAAGTATCAACAACTTTTGCTCCTTGAAGCGTTATTCTTACTACAGCCTACTCTAGTTACAATGGGCCAAGTAAAAATTGTTTGCCATTACGACTACAGGCATCAAAGCGTCATCTTGCACTACAAGTTCGTTCTTGTGTATACTGCCTCTCAGCAGTGCATGACGCTGGTCCAGAAAGCCTCCAGACTTAATGAAATGGTAGGAAACAAGTAATTCCAGCAATTAACCCGTACCTGCCGATGAACTAGAAGGAGGATCTTGACTAGTCGAAGGAAGATCTGACTCATCAGATGCTTGAACAGATTCTTCTTCTTGCTGGCTGTCAATTTCTAGGCCTGCTTCCGAAGTGATTCTAGGAGAGAAGGAGGGGGAGGAAAAACATGCACGTGTATTCGCATAGTTTCAAAAAGCTCAGGGGAAGAAGTATCATCTAGGACCATACAGGTTCCTACGCAAATGCCTTTCCCCAGAAATTCTCACCGATTTTTATTCCATTTTGTTGTGTCCTCCCTGCCTCCAATGAGAGATTTATCTGGCTTTTAGAAAAATAACAATGTAATCTCCTAGATATGCAGCCCAACTCCAGACGCACATTCAGCATACTGATTGCCTTTCAGGGAAGGTCACAGAAGCTATTTAATAACAATAACGAAAAACCCTAACATGATGGTGGTGCCTATGTTTGGGCAGTGGAAGAATGAAGCAGAGGGAGCACACTGGGTGACTGGCCCCAAGAATCACTCATTGGTGCAACACTTACGTGACTACTACAGAGCTCTCTGCATTCTGACGAAACAAAGAAATCTTTTTTTTTTTTTTGGTGACTTTTATATTAGCCATGTTAAGTCAGAAGAAAATCTTTGGGTTTAGACTGAAAGGTCAGATTGTACCACTTCACGAAATTACTAAATCCTTTTTCAGCTGTCTTTCCGACCAGAACAAGTTAAACTGAAAATTAATCACAGGCACACTTGAATGAAAACCGACTGTTAAAATAACATGACATCATGTCTTAGTGAACCAAACAAGTCATAGTTTACCCTTCGGATTCCGCCTCTGCAAAAACTTCATCCCCATCATCACCCGCTCCAGCCTCCGTGGTGGTGGACAGATTGCCAGTAGATGTTGTAACCATTGGGACAGACTGGGAAGCGTGCTCTGAAGCATCCGCTGAGGCACTTTCAGTAAAAACTGTCACTGGACAGGAAAAGTAGGTTAATAAATATCGAGTTAGTTTGAATTTCCTACAGAAATTCTATGGAAAACTTAGACACATCAGGCTGAATACTCCTGATGTAGCAATAAGTGCTGTAACAACAATAATTGGAATTTCTCAACTTGACTTCAGCCTGCAAATTTCTCGCAACTTACCTGGTGCTGCAACTTGTAACGGCGTTGTGGGAACGCTACGACCACCTGATTCTTCCTCATGAGCAAGGAACAGGGGGGTTTCATACATTCCTAAACCTGCAATGCAAAGTTTTAGTGAAAATGAAAATACACATCTAAAAAACTGATTATCTTCTCTCTATACACCCGAGGAAATTCAGTGATTTGTAATAAAAAAAGATGAAATTGAGCTATTTACACTTAAACACGGATTTTTGTCATTTTGAGCTGTTTTGACTTACTGCTAGAGCTTACTGTAATTTACTGAAGAGTAAAACTTGAAAAAAAAATTTCCATTTGGTTTACTTTCATCCTTTTCTTGTGCCATTGTTTCACTGTGAGCTCTCCTCAAAAAACACCATACTGCTCCACGCTACAGGGCCACAAGGCAAAGGGACTGACTCAGGGCAATGCCAAAAACAATACAGACAAATCGCCTGCCCATCTCTTTAGCAGGCAAGGATATATGCTGAAGATTCCTTTGCATTTGCTGTTTCTTTCTTACTACTTTAGTACAGGAAAGCTATAATCAACTAAAGGAAAGCTATAATCAAATAAAATCAAAACTGAAAGCCATTCTTTCAGTATCTCATTTCTCCCTAAAGGAAATTTTTAATGACCAGCAGGTGATTAGCCCTACACAAAATTTCAGCTTCTCTGGTTCACAAGCCTGCTGTTCCTACCCCCACAAGCATTCTACTTTTTAAATCATGTTACAAACACAAGTGCAGCAGCTAGAAGGAAACCTCTTTTCCTTTGTTAAGTCCCCCTCTGCTGACAATTATTTAAGAATCATGAGTTTCTGCACTTCAGCGAGTACCCGAAGTAAAAATGCATTTTATTGGCTGAGTTATTCAGTTTTCACTCTCGCAACCATGGAAGAGGAAGGACAGAAATGGTTTACCTCCTTGGGACGCAAGCTGACCAAGATCTGAGTGACTGGAGCTAGTTTGTGGCATATCTTCAGGAGGTCCAAACCTGAATCTAGGAACTCCAGCTACCTGGGGGGAACTACAAAGTAAAGATTTAGAGAATTCTGCAATTCTCCTAATGATCAGGGAAAGGTGTGGGTTGGGAAGAAAAAAAAAAAAAAAGTGGCAACTTTCAGATCAAAACAGGAGAACAAATTATGCATAAGAAAAAATGAATTAACACTGACCATAAACATCAGCTGAACTACTACTTACTAAATAGTAATTACTTTCTCAATCTCATTTGGACTGCATCTAAAATCAGTAAAACAATCCTTAAGAGAACGTTCTTCCCATATTCTTCTTGCAAATTCTCACAATTTTAAGTGAATTGCTGAATGTGTCCAGAATTGTCTCAAATGAAAAAACAGATATAACTTTTTCTGCTTTTATTGGTAATACCGGGCTTGGAGGGGAGAAATGATAGAGTGGGGAAGGAAATGAAATAGAAGAGCCTATACTTTTGATTAATCTCTTCTTAAGTCAGTAAGTTACAATACATGGGAGGTGGTCTGGCTACTAATTTGCTGATAGTTTTCATGATACAAAGTTCAAATAATGATTACTTATTTGTAGATGCAGATAGGTACCAGACTACTTGCCACGTTTTAGCATGCTACTCCAGTCAGAAGTTCACTTCGTTTGAATTTACTTTCATTCCAGTGAAAACCAGAAAGAAAGAGATGCCTTTTTCCCTTTACATCTACTTACTGAATGGCTTCTGCAAACCCATCTGTACGATGTGGAACTACGAGAGTTGGTGTGCTTGGAACTGTTCTGTCCTCATCATCAAAGAAGTGCTGCTGCTGGAAAAAAGAGAGACTGATATGAGAGCCTACCACGTATTTCCAGTTTCTACCAAGCCAAGTTAAAGGCTGGTTTCCTTCTTCCACATTGTCTGCAAAACAGATCTAGCTCTAACACACTTCTTGTCTAATTTCAGACATATAAATCTGAGGTAGTTCTGTAGGGTGATAAAAAGCCCCAAATCAAAATAAAAACTGTACCCTAGCAGGACACCCATCTTTCAAAGGATTTTTAGACATCAATTCCATGAGATCATCCTACCATCCAAGTGCTGCATCATTCCATTGGCTACAAAGGAATCCTAGGGTCGCTCACCCATAGATGGGAATCACCTCTCTTAATCCTTATTGCTGTAACATACCTACCACATGAGATTTTTCACCTATCAAAACATGTCCCTATAGACTTACATCTTCTGTTCCTGCATTGCCTACAAAGCCTCTTCCCTCATCCTTCGCAAGGTGTTCTCTTCATCTCCCTGTCTTCCTCCTGGATCTTTCAACCTTTCTCTCCAAAATAGTAACTTCCCTCCCACATGCTCAGTTACTGTCCAGGCAAAAAGCAGTAGGTACTGAGAGCAGTTCTAAATAGAAACTAAATGACAGGTACATGCAGGCCAAGCAGGTTCAAAAATTGAGTTGATGCTTTTGATCTCAGAAAAGATCCTTCAGTCAGTTTTTCTTTCCTCCCTCACTGACCTGGTGCTCATTCTGTCAAATACAGTTAAAGTTGGATAAAGGGTTCAAAATTAGCTGAAGGAGATAAATACGAAGCACAAAAAATTTAAACTTGATCTCTTAAAATTAGGCTGAAAGCTTGTTATTTTTCCTCCTAGTAATATATCCACTTTAAAGACTGATTCTAAAACCAAGTAATTAAAATTGCCTTGGACAAAACCAGTTCAATCTCTTTTCAAGAGCTTTAGCTTCCTGGGACTTTTCTGGAATTTGCCTTCCCGTAATACAGAAATTCACAGGGCTAAGATACTGCAAGGCCAGAGAAACCATCCAGTGTCTGAAGTCAGTAGCTAGTCTTTAAAACACAAAATAAAACACAAAATTGTTCGCTCAATGCAGGTTTTTAGTAATAGACTTTTGTACACTCACCATCCCACCTATGCCAGGAGTTAGCTGAAGTCCACGCCCCACTGACTGTCTTCGAGTCATCTGGATTCTCTTTATAGTAAAGAAAAAAATTAAATAGTGTAAATGCTTTCCTGGAATTCTAATAACATAGAAACATGCAATGAGAACCAAGGAAAGTCAACAAATGAGTAAGTGTAACAATTACACATCAGTATACACCACTTCTCAGTACAGGTATCACACCTTCTCAAAGAATAAACCACGGCAGCAGCTGCTCCACATCTCTTAAGTGCTGCCTGGTCTAACCATGAAAAAGAATCATCTGGATTTAAATTCTGGGTAAGGGACACGGCTATTTTACTCAACTTTCTACCGAGGACAGAAAACTTGAACACAGAAATATTGTGGCCTCAAGTCTCAGAACAAGTTAATGATAAAGGGTAATTTCAGTCAGGACATTTCTGCAAAATTCAAGTTGCGCTGCTTTCATTTACAAGGTCTATAGGTCTGCATCAAAGTGTAATCACGAGTCAGGCACTGACCCTAAAAGGATTAACTTAAAAAATTAACAGTAACATTCCTTTGCCCAATCTGCATTGGAACAGAGAATAATAATACTCCCCTGCCAATCTAAGTTTCCTGTTCAAGAACAGCTTTTGTAGTGGAAATACCAGCAGTCACTGGCTGAATCAACACTGGAATAATAACTTCAAGATACAAATCCATCATGAGTGCCTTACTACTTTTCATGTTCCCTGTCCAGTCATCATCTTAAGTCAGTTGGCTCAGTTACCACTTTAGGATGCTTAATAGACGTAACCTATTTTTACTATCACCAGAGTACTTCAGTTTTATTTAGATGAAATCACACAGTAACTTTTTCACAAGTCTTCTGAACAGCTAGAGAGAGTTTATACCTGCACCGGGGGCCCCAGTTCTTGAGGAGGAGCATGAATAGTTAGTCGTGGGGGCAGCGGGTGTGGTGGCCTGCGTGGTGACTGTGGGGGCCGAGGGGCCTGTCTCTCCGAGGCCGATGACGGCTGCTGTTCTCTCGAACTTTCGTGAGGGAAAGTGGACTCTGCAGCACTTGTACTCCCTTCTCCTAAAACACACAGGAGTATAGAGGAGTAAACCCACGCCTTCCAAATCGAGTTGAAAACACGAAGGCAAGCCTTCACATTCTGCTACCACATCAACACAGACATTTTCACCCTTGCAAGAGTGGGGACAGCTCACTACCGTTATTTAAAACCACTTAAAAGAAAACTTGTGCCACCTACACCTTCACCAGCACCAAAACAGACTGCTGGCGATTCAAGTGCTGATTTAGAGAGAGATAAACCCACTGAGCCAGCAGCAGCAGTTTCCATAGCAAACAGAGCTTCCAGGTTTGCAAAGGAATATAGAATATATCCAGAAAAGAACACTTCAAAAGAATCTACAATTCAGATTAAAATGGTCTTTAGCACTTCACCTTATATTCTTACTTTTAAGTGCATATTTTAACGTCTGCAAAACTGCTTCTAAGTTTCCCCCCGTCCTTACTTTGAAGAAGCATGAATAACCATACCACTGTTTTGAGAATCTGCTGCCCTCTGGTTGCTTTCGCCTCCTCCCATGCTCTCCTCAGTTTCTGTTCCAGGATCTGTGCCATCGGCACCCTAAAAAAAGCCCACAGATAAACACAGTATGAGTTTGCACTGAACAACTTACAGGCTGCAAAGACAATATGAAAGCAGTAAAAAAGTATCCCCAAAGTAAACACTGGAAATTTTACAATATTTCTGTAAATACCCACAAAATCATGCAAATGTACACAACTCTAGCAAATTTCAGAAGTTGTGTATATCTGCACATACACAAATGTGAACAATGTAGCCATTCTTGCTTAATAACAATAACAGATAATGAAATACCTAGATTTCGAAGAAACTGCCACACTAGCTTTGCAACTACAGTGTTTGTCACTGGCTCCAGCATTTTGCCTTTGCATTCTGCCCTTGTAAACATTTGAAGTTGATTTTTCTTGCAAAAACACAGAAATTACTATCACTTCCTAGCAGCCTCAATTTTCTGAGATAAGTTTATAAAAGATTTTCTCTTTCAAGTACTAAAATCTGTGCACATGCATTACAATGCCAATTTATTCCAAGAAATTTAACAGACTATAAAAAAAAGTACAAATCTCACCTCAGCATCATCTGCCTCGTACCCATCATTACCATCAGCACTACCAGTTCCTTCATTACTGTCATCACCTTCATCCCCCATCCCTGTGTCTTCATCATCATCTTCATCTTCCTCTTCCTCATCCTCATAGTCCTATTGAAGGATATAAAAAAACCCAAACAAACCACAAACCTTAAGGTAGTGGGGAAAGGGTAATGGAATGATTTCCCATGTTGAAGTGGTACATTTTTTGTTGTACGCAGCCCATGACTGGCTGTGGATCTCTTTCTGACAATATTGGTTCAACAGTTTTTACTCATAGAATAGCTGTACAGACTTTTTGATTGCTGTGGTAGGCTGATTTTGGTTGGCTGGAGACACCCACCCAGCCATTCCCTTGCTTTCTCCATGTCCTGGGTTTAGCTAAAACCCAGTCCGATTTAGTGATTTTTTACTTTTCAGTTTAGTCTCTTCTAAGAGGCTGCACTTTCTGAAGTCAGCAGCGTGTTCCTGCAGACAGTGCCTGCTACGAGCAGTGATAACACCTGATGTTCGCATTCACTGCCTGGCACTGGGATGCAGAAAGGCTCTTGCTGATACTTATTCCTGTAGTGACCAAGGCCACTGCTGGCTCTGTGTGCCACGCTGGGGGTGCAGGGGAGTGAGAGGGGTCACAGGGAAGAAAAAGGTTGCACCTCTAGGGGGTAATAGACAGGACAGGTGACCAACGAGAGTATGCCATTCCAGTTACATCATTATTAGTATAAATTGAGTGACATGAGAGTTTCTGCCCTTTTTGCCCTTTTCTTCTTTGCCCTTTTCTGCAATGGCCGGTGTCCAGAGAGGACTCCATCTGACCTCCTGCTTTTGATCCGGATCCTGACTTCTCGAATCCAGCTCCCTGTATCCAGCTCCCACTGCCGCTAAGCCTGGGGCTTCCCTAGTGCCTCCTGCTCTGCAGCATCAGTGGGCATTGCTATCAGGGGGGAGTCGGGTTCAATATCGGGCTTATATATAGTTGTATATAGTTCTTTACTTTTATCATTTCGCTACTATTTTAATTATCATTTCATAAAAGCTGTTCTAGTTTTTCTTTCCTTACCCATAAGTCTTTCTACCTCATTTCCTTTTCCTTCCCATTTGGGGGGAAAGAAGGTGTTAGAGAGCGTCTGTCTGTGTTTAGTAGCCCTAAGCTACGACACTCCAACAAGACAAGGGTGAAAAATAGGATAGAAAAGCTTGAGAGTTGAGCTAAAGGCAGCCAGCTCACTTGCCAATTACCACTACAGGCAAAACAGACTGAACTTGGGGGAAATTAAATTAATTTGTTGCCAGTTCAAAAGAGTTGGGTGTTCAGAAACAGATAAAAACTAGAACACCTTCCTCCTCGCCCCCTTCTACTTCCCAGGCTGAGCTTCAGTCCCTCACTCTCAACTCCTCTTCATCCACAGGGCAGAGGGAGCAAGGAATATTTGCTGCGATGCCTGGAGCACCTCCTCCCATTCATTCTTCTCCAACCTTGGTGTTCACAAGACAGTTCCTCACGTTTTTCTCCCCACTGCCATGCAGCGTTTTGGTCTTTCTTATATATTCGTGATTCAGCCCCCAGCAACCACCCTCATGCGTTGAAAAACTTGTATGTTGAATAGCCAAAGGTAGTCTAGAGGCACTGTGGAATCTTATGACTTAAAAACCCCCCACCAAGCTGAATTAGCAACTATCTTGAATATGCTAGAAGAGCAGACCACAAAAGCAGACAATTTATACTGTTAACAATAAATTGATTAAATTAGTTCTCCTTGGTGAGCTTTATATCTGATAAAAGATAAAATCATAAATTAAGAAGTTCATAAATAAATGCATGATATACATACTTCCTGCTCGCCTTCATTTTCTTCATCATCATCATCTTCGTCATCACTATCAATTACAATGACATCGTCTCTCTTGCACTGACCATCCTGAGATGATGAAGTATTTTGTTGATCTGACTGAAGAGGTCCAAGTTCTATTGGGATAGACTGAGAAGTTTCTTCACTATCCTCCATGGGAGTGTACTCTCCCTGGGTAACACCCTATAGGAGATAAATTACCAAAGGAAACAAAATGCAGCATATACAAGTTTTAAATGTTCATCAGGAAAGTGTCTGTTAAACTTGCAAGAGCTCCTAGCTCACAATCTGAACTGGAATCCTGCTCTACAACACAAGGATTATAAATCCTTCACTAGCAAATCTGATTTGGGAGGGGTGCCATCACTGGGGATGCTGTATTCATATATTATGTATGTGAATGCACATCCATGAAAATCTGCTTTCTGAATGTTTATATTAAAAGCATATGTATATTCAAAACATTTCATCTGAATCTGCCAAGTATGACTAGAAGTGTTCAGAAAAAAAAGCATAAGCAAGTCTCTCACCTTTTTTTTTTTTTTAATTTGGGACTCTACCACATAAATTTTGTAGCATTAAAGGGTATGGGATTTATTGGGGAGATAAACATTTGTCATACCTTTTAAAAACCTAACGAAAACCTAACGAAAGAAAACCTAACGAAAGAAAACCTAACGAAAGAAAACCTAACGAACGAAAACGTCCTCCACACCTCAATGTGAGGTTTTGCCAAGTTAGGGAATTACCACCACTTTCGTTCATTTGAGGTGAAAACAGATCCACGGTTTTCACTTATATTTGACTTTTTGAACATGGCATTTTACAGAACAAGAACAAAACCAACCTTCTTTTCTTTATCACCTCACGACTCATCTAACACTAAGCTTGCTCCCAGATTTGTAAAATCTTTCCATAAAACAAAAGCCAGAAACCTGAGAGATGGACTCTAAAAGAGTAAGCGAAGAACCAAAACTCTAATTCCATTTTAAGACTGTAACTCATTTAACCTCTCCATCTCAGTTCTACTATATAAAACCGACGTTAAGGATACCAGGATTTCTAAAACAACACATCAAATGAAAATAAAATTGAGTTCTCTCTCCTTAAACACAGCAGGTCTAAACTTGAAACGGTTAAGCGGCTTCCACTGGAAACCTCAAGATCTGACCTGAGATTTTGTTTCTGAAGAGAGTTTGAAATAAGAAGATAACCATTTCTGCCGAAATTATTTTTCTTTTCAAATACGCTTACTTCTCCAATTGAGTCTTGTGAGTCTTGATTGTATGTTTGAGCTTCTACCTCGCCATCAGTGCTCTCTTCTGCTGTCACTTCCTCCTGAAAGAACATGTATTTGTCTCATTTAAAACACATCATTAACCTTAAAGTTTGGTTCTTTAAGATGTTTGAGATTTTAACTTTTTTGTAAAAAAAATTACTTTTCCCACAAAGATCATGGGCTCCCCTTTTTGTCATTATTCCATAACTCTGCTTTCATCTAACATCCCAGATTTCTCTGCCCTGATGAAATACAATTTTACCCTTCCAGTCCACTGGACCTCAGCATCTCTAAATTTTTCAGGATCAAAAAAGAATCCTCAAGATTTCCCATCTCAGTTCCATCCTCTCAGCTAATTAAGTACTAATTCTTAAATAATCTTGCCCTTTTCTCTTATGCAACATTCCCCTCATACAGAGTTAATAAAACATCTTTGACTTCCTTAACATTTTTTGTGAGCTGCATGCTGTGAGGTTCAGTCTCAAGTCTGTTCCTTTTTTGCAGGACATCCCAATTCCCTCACACCTATATTTAACAAGTATCTCCTGCAAGGTTTTCCACAGAACTCACCTTTCCTTCTCCGGCATCTCCTCGAGTACACCGTATTTCATTCCAGAAAAACTAGATAATGACCTATTGGATCACAGTGAAAACCATTTTAACTTCTTCCTCCTAAATGTTAGGATTTGGCCCTCTCTCTTCCATCCTACAGTTCATTAAGATTTGCATCATTCATTGCAACTGCAACAACTTCCGCCTTTCGTGATACCCAAACGTAACTGCTTCTTCCGTGACAGATTAAAAAGTCACGGTAAGAATTAGCTGACCTACTCTGAAGTAATATACTCCCTCGTCCCATTAAAATCTTCCAAAGTGACAGAATAAGTAGCAGCATTTTAACTGCTTACAAACCTCTGGTCCTACTCTCTGTATGCTTCGCAGTTTCTTTGGAAGAGGTACATCCACAGTTTCTTCTGAAATTTGGTCCGAGTTTTCCACAGTGTTATCCTCTTCTTCCTCTCGTGCACGTTTAGACAGCGAAGAACTTGGGGTAGCTGAAACTTAAAGGACCCTCTCCATTATTTTCAGAACACAAATGTACAAAACAAAAAATCACAAAGCTTGGTATTTTACTGTGGAAGATCACCTCTTTTCCTGCAGTAAAAGATAAATAGAATCAGAAAGAATCACCTTGTGCAGTTTCCTATGACATGAAAACATCATCCCCTGGACCTATATTTGCAACCTAACTGACCCCAAATGTAAGCTTCAGGATACCACTATGAGATTTTTTCCTAACATCTTTGCTTCTGAAAAGTACAATTTAAAGTTTAACAGTGTATGAGCTGGGAAACACAAAATAAGCAGGGGAATAAACATTCTACACCAAAATCTATACTGTGTAGGGCAAACAGATGTGCAACAGTAGCTTTAGAGTTCTCTGTATTTTATATTCTGGCTTAAGCAGTTTAATCATGACTCCTAAAACTCATCTTGTTCCAACAGTACTGTAGGAGCAGAGGCACTGTTGCTCTGAATAGATAAGTAAACATTATACTCTACTTTAAGGAATCCAGTGACAGCAAGAGGTAGATTCCTGAAGGTTCAGGAAAGGAGCCTAACTTCACAAATTTGTAAAACATGCAATAAAATAAGGCGGAGAAAAAAGAAAGTAAGTTCAAATTTTTTTGTTGAAGTTGGGCCTGGTTTGATGAGAGTCTGAATGGAACTACTTAAAAGGAACTATTCAAAAAGGTAGGCCTATAAAATAAAACCAACCTGTGCCAAACACTGCTGTAGAAGTGGAGGGCCTCTCTATTTGAGAGCTCTGTACAACCTCCACAATGGCAGGGGATGGCTCCTGATTCGCAGGCTCAATTTGAGGATGACTTTGCTGAGTGGGCTGCACAAAAGCAGTTGCTTGAGTCTGCTGCTGAACAGTCAAGATGGGCTGAGAGAGAGATGTCTGAACATTAGGACTGGTGGAACGTACAGACCCACTAGTGCTCCCAAAGACTGGAACATGCTCCACAGGTCCTTCTGACTGCATAGCTGAAAGGCAAACAGTAGCACATTCAACTGTCTTCATATTATCTAGTACAGATCACGTTCCCTGTTTCAGAACACCCTGAGTAAGCAGATTTCATGTTTCGCAGATTAAGTTAACATCGCTGATACGCATCTTCAGGTGAGGAATCGTGAACTTTGTTGCAACAGAAGTGGTCTGAAAGTGCAGTATTCAAGGAGATGCAAGGGGCAATAAAACTATCTGAGCTACTTTCAAACTACCAATGACCAAGATTTCAAGGCAAAAGGTAGCATTTGTGATTACTGTAGATCCTTACACTTCAATAAAATGCTCACCTTCCTGAGTCTCCACCTGTGTTGTTGGCATAACAGTGGCTGTTGGAGTCGTGGTAGGATTAGTGACTGTAGCAGGAGTAACCATTGGACGGATACTGGCTCTTGGAGTAGACTTATTCCCAGCTATTGCAGCAGCAGTCACTTTACTTGGAGTTGACACAACAGGAGTTGGCTTAATATTTGCTGTTGGAGGATCCGAAGTGCTAGCACTGAAAAAAAAAGATACTGGTTTCATTGTGGTAGTGCGAAGAGTAGATTTTAAAAATACCAAATATAAATACAATGTCACAGCCAGAAATACTGATTATTAAAGGTTTACAACTTAGAAGTCTGACAAAGCCACAATGAATTGTCTTCCAAAATCTGTTTATACCTAAAAAAGAAAAAGACAGACCCACTATGCCATATCAGTAGCCTTTTGTCCAGCTTAGAGGTTTGACAGGTTTCTTCAAAAGTAATCAACTAAAAAAATCTGTAAGCAGGTCAAAAGGAGCAGCATGTAGTTTGTCCTATTAGATGTGATGGGTCTTTGTTACAGTAACACATCTCACATTAAAAATAACAAATACAATACAGAGCAACATCATCTCTTGGTTGAGCCAAGGATCCGCAAAATTTTAAGAGGCAGTTTTGAAAGCCCTGCTTTCCAAAGGATTTCGTCATAAAAACTGAAAGGGAGTTTGTTACCTAAACTTAGTGATACAGTATCTTGGTTTGAGCTTAACCAATTCTATTCAGTGATTTTTATTTTCCAGTCAGTCTCTTCTAAAAGGCTGCACTTTCTGAAGTCAGCAGCATGTTTTTGCAGACAGTGTGCACTACGAGCAGTAGTAACACCTGTTGTTTACGTCACTGCCTGAGGGCACTGCTTTGTGTGCCACGCTGGGGGTGCTGCACAGTATGCCCACGACATACAGCAACAGTTCCCATTTTAGAGCTTAGTCATTTGACTATTTTTCTGTTGTTAGAGCTACCATCTATTTAGTCCATTCCTCATGTTGAGATTCTTGCACAAGGAAGATCCACTCCCAAACCCAAAAAGGTTAAAGGAAACAATCAAAATCATACAACTTCAGGAACCTTGAAGTCTAAAAACATTTAAAATATTTTAAACTGAACGCCTTAAAAGCTTTATTGATTAAATATAGCTGAGAGAAACAGGAGGAGCATATTATGGCATTCAGTATCTTCAAACCTGCTTAAGAAAAATTGTGAAAAAAACTGTGATGTACTACTACAAAGAAGAGAAACTAGCTGAAGACAAAACCAAAAAACACACCACAGAAACTTTGCAAGAACCCCCAAACCCTTCAACTCACATTCCTCTTTCACCTGAAGCCGGAGTAGACTTGAGCGAGATTTGCCTTTGCTGTTCTGAGACCTGTTAAGTAAGAAATCGAAGCATCATGGCACGTACATATAAAACCGAGAGTAATTTGGTATTCAGCAGACAGATCTCTTCAGTAACAATCATTTCTTGAACAGACTTGTTAGCATACCCACTCAGACTCCATGATTATTGTTAATTCTCCAAAATAAATCATACCAGTCATACCAAGTAGGTAAACCAATTGAGTAATTTCTCAGGTATTTTCTAAAGCTATGAAGACAACTCATTACACTGAACGCATGGATAAAAATACAAAAATAAAGAGCAGAGTGAAAAGAGCCCATCGGCTGATTCACAGCGATTGATATAACCGTATGCTCGTTAGCACTGAGAATTCCAACTAAGACAGGAAATAAGTTTTAATTAAAAGTTCTGAATTCTTACTAAAGCCAACCTGTGTCCTTCCAAAATTGGGGGACAGCAGAAATTGAACAGCACAGTTTGATTACCTCACTGAGATTCTTAAATTTTCTTTTTGTTTAATGTGTAGGGGGTCCTATGACAAGAATTCCCAGCTGCTATTTAGGGTGTTTAGAGAAAAAACTTCACATAATGTAGTTCTGAGTATTACCTATGATACACATAAAACTAAGCCAAGCTGCACTGACAGCTGTCGTTCTTGCTCAGAGACAAGTGGAGCTGTTTGTTTCCCCTCCCACAGCTAGCTCCAGGGATTTTGTACCTTGTTTGTAGACTCTGGTGGCTCATCTCGCTGTTCGTGGTGTCGCTCTTGCTGCTCTCTAAGCTCCCTTTCCAGGCGGCAGATTCGACCTTCATACTGCGATTTGAGCGCACTCATCCGCACCTCCAATTCAGTCTTCTGCTCCTCTAACGAGCTGCTCTTCTGCTTCCACTCTTCATTTTCTTTTGTAAGCTGTTCTTTCGTACCTAATTGAACAGGAAAGAATTCCATCTTGCCACTGTAAAGTTGCCTACTAAGTTTCTGCATGCTCAATACCTGGCTCTTTTAATAGGTTACTGAAGTGCTTTGAAATGTTAAAAATGTTAAGTTATCAAAAGAGCTCTTAAGAGGCAATTTTAACTTCCACATAACATTTTCCTATTTAATTGCAATTAAATAAAAAAAAAGATTTAAAATATATACTAAATATATAGGGGAAAAAATTAAATAAAGTAATCACTTTAAAATAACTTCTGTAGCATCTGATCTAGAAAAAACTTTGAAGTAAAATATTAGAGTATACCAGTATAACTAAAATAATTATAATACCAGCTAACTGGGCAATTTTCTGCTTGGCCGCAAGCAAGGTCTTCCTAGTTTTCTCTTCCTTCTCAGTGATCTGTTGCCTGAGCTGTTCTTCCTGCGTTGTCTTCTCTTGGAGATCTTGATGAAAACGAGCAAGTTCAGATTGTAGCTGTGTTATCTGCTCCTGAAGATTTTTAACTTCGGTTTCCTTCTCTGCTATAGCCTAGAGAGAGAGGCAGACTGCAACTACGGGCCACAACCGGCTACTTTGGCACATATACAGTCTAACAAGCTCCAAGGACCTACTATTAACCAACCGTGGTATTCAGGCTAAAACGTTTCTCATTAACAATGATCTCTCTCTGAACGCAGTAACTGAGAGAAAAGGATTCTCTTTCCCACTTATTTATTCTAAGAAATGTGAGACACCTGCATACAGGATTTAAACCAGGTTTAAGGTCCCTCTTTCCCAAAAAAGTAAAGGCATAAATAGGTCCCTTCACGTATTTGTCTGCAAATACGTGTGCACGCACACACGCACACTCACATTCTTCACAGTTACACATTTAAGATCACAGTAGGATACAGTACTCAGAAATTGCTCACTGTTTTTACCTTTTGTAAACTTTCAACCTGAGCCTCCAAAGCCTTTGTCTTTGCTTCAGCTTGACTGAGAGTGTCTTTCAGCTCTTGTACTTCCTGGGCAGAAACTTGTTCTTCTTGCTGTTCTACAAACGACTGAGTCGATGCTTCAGCAACCATCTGGAATACATCAAGCAGTGTCAGGCTAAAGGGTACCAGCTGATTAGAATGTCATTACCTTCACAAGTTGCTTTTGCATACAAACCCGTTGTTTAAAAAAGCTCTGGGCAAACCCCATGAATTCTAATGAATGCTGAAGTTCTGTTGAGAATACTGCAAAATATTAAGTGCTATGCAGCTTGTGTTTTGCAGCAGTTTGAGCTAACAGCTGAATGAATGATGCAATTTTCTGCTTTTAACAGACAAGTATTTGTACAGTATTGTACTAAGGGAATGAAAATCTCATTAGCTAGATTACACAAGACTCCAGACAAAAACATACTTTTTCAGTATGTTTGCAAAGAAATTCCATCTACCTTATCATGCTGTGCTTTCAGCTCCTCATATTGAGTCTTGTACCTGCGCCCAATTTTCTTGACCTGAGTTATAGTTTTCACTTTTTCCTGTATGTCAGCTACTTTAGCATCTAGCTCTTTCTGCAACGTATCCTTTTCCGCTCTTATTTTAGTCACTTCATCCTTCAGGCTCTGAACAAGGTTCTGGCTTGTAGTTAGGGATGCATTAGTTCTAAATAGCAACAGATCAGAAAAAGATGCAAATGAGATGTTTGAAATAATCAATACATTTCAATATTGCTCATCTATTTAGTATCAAATGTATTATCTGTAGTGAATTGGGTTTTCTAGGATTTTGCAATACAACAAAGTATTTATAGAATAGAAATTATCCTACAATACGTAAGTTTAGAAGTTGTTCACCTAAAAGATAACTTCCCAAACAATCATCACTTTATTTTACCTACATATTATCAAGCTACAGCAAGAATACCAGAGGTTTCATGCTTACATAGAGACAGTTAAGAAATTACACTTCCAGATACAGCATTATTTAAAATAATAATGCACAAAACTTTTTACTAATTGACTAATACCACACCTGGCCATTTCTGCTTTAAGCCTGCCTGTTTCTTCACTCATCTGCTGTATACGTTTGGTGTTTGCCTCCTTCTCCGAAAGCAGCTTCCGATACTCTTCGAGATCCGTGTCCTTCTGTTGATTCAATAAATGCTGAAAGGTTGAGAAAACAGTTTGCACTTTCGTAAGATGATTATACAGTTATACCCAGAAAATCTCTTTGAATTAGAGCTACTGCTTGTGCATTTTCATTTGAATTGGAACAGCATATTTTGAAGCTGCATAAACAGTGCTTTAAAATTCAAACACATTTCTTTAGTTTATTACTGTTAAGAAAATTTATATGTGCTTTTTTTTTTCAGCTGTTTGTTTTTTCCACATCTTCTTTCAAGATATGTATTCCCCACCTGAGTCCGGGCTTTCCAACGTTTAACATCTTCTTCCAACAGTTTTTTCTCTGCCTGCAACATTCCACTTTTCTCACTCAGTTCAGCATTAGACTCTTGTAGAGGTAAAATGTCTGCCTCAAGCTTGCGTACCTGAAAAAACACAACTGGGGATTAAACTCTTTGATTTTACGAGCCTGAAGGAAATGAAATATGGTAGGCCTTGAAAGACGATAGTAAGAGGGACAGAGAGAGCAAAATCAACACCCTCAGGAAGTCACGCTACAGCTTCTTTGCCAACTCTCTCTTTGCCTTTCAGTTGGGCTAGCTGATTTTCAGCTTCATTTAAATAAAACTGAACTTTAAATTTTCAACGTTCTAGGCAGAAAATCAATGTTTCCTAAAAGGAAAGTTTCCTCATCTGCATATGACGTACAGGAACAATGACAATCTACGTAATGTATTTACTGTAACTAGCAATAGCATATCCAGATACTAACTCACCATACTGAACATCTGAAAAATTTACGTGAACCTTAGTACTAACCTTGGCTTGAATTTGCTGTAGCTCTTGTTCTAGCCTCTCCTTCTCTTCTCTTAGCATCTTGTTGGTTTCTATCAGCACATTCATGGTCTCAGTTTTTTTCATTAATTCTTCGTGCTGTGCAATGGTTTTTGCTGTCACCTTTGAAAAGATTTAACTCAGTCACTCGTTTTGCTTGCACATATTCACCTGGAGCTGGCATAACACCATCTTGGAAAGCTATTGTGGCATTCCTTATCACACATTTACATTCAAAACACATAAATACCACTAAGAAATGGGAGATGGAAAAAAACTGAGAAAAATTATCTTTATTTTCCCTGTTTATGTGATTCTGGAATCTCCACACCACTTCACAGGACTCAGAACGAGATCCTCCACTTGCCTACAAAGCAACCCCAGCTTAAAAACTCCTGATTCTTCCAAAATATCATTTTTGGACAAAGGCAGCAAAGACAAAGAGTAGATCACAGAGAATAGCCCTCTGTACTTATTGAAATCATAAGCAATAACATCGAACCATACCTGCACCTTCTCTCTCTCGGCATTGAGACTGTCCTGCAGTTCCTGGAGTTCCCTCTCCAAGTACTCCACTCTCTGACGATAACGTAAACTCTCCACCTGGGCCACCTCAAATCTCGTTTCTGCAATCTCCTTTTCTCGACGTATAAATCTGAAATAAGAAAACGAACAACACATCGTGTCAATGAAAAGCATTACAAAGTATTTCTAGCTGAAGCATCTTATGTCTGAAGGTCAACTGAGTAGAGAAATTGGTTCAGAAAGATCAAAAAGAAAATCTTACATAAAAATTTTTGAAAATCTACATAAACCTCCTAAAAACTATGAGAAACAAAGTCATCTTTATGTGACTTTATTGCCAATCATTTTTACTAAAATCTGTATTTAGCTTCTTCTCATCTTTGACTCATTTCTTTCCTAGTAAAATAAACCTATTCTAGTACTGATATAGCATAACTACCTCCTGCCAAACAAAAAAAGCATTTAAATTTCACGTATTATTCTTCAAAGTAATACAGAACCATATAATTTGGCAACTAATTTATAATCACTGAAAAAAGGAGCCCAGAGCTAAATTTACCTAAGAATTTCTAAGATTTGTTCCTGGGATTTGCCTTCCTCATTGAGAGAAACATTCATTGCAGTCGGCACGGCTTCTTTCATAGACGTCACCATCTTATCACTCAGACTCTCCAGTTGTTCGTGTAATAATCGGTTTTGTTTTTCCAAATCGTCGCAGCGGGATGCGAGTTTTGAAGCTTCATCCTGCAACAAAAGCATTCAACGGCTGAGAATTCTGTGGCTGAATTTCTGTTAACCCACTGAAACGATCGAAACAATCGTACCTTGATCATTCTCTCTCTCTCCTCCCACGAGGCTTTGCTCTCTAACAATTCAGACTCAGCTTTCTGAGCAGCTTCCTCGAGCTGCTGCCTTACCGCCGTGTTCTTGGCAACTTGGTCTTTAATTGCCTGTAATGCTTCAACATCGGCAGCATGAAGCATTAATTCACGCTCGTATTTATTCTGAGCTTCAGAAGCCATCTTTGCCTGTAGGAAAATACAAAAAATAGATGTGGTTACCTTTAACGTTACATGTTTGATCTGTACAAAGAGGTTCTCAAATTCTAGACAAAATGAGTGACTGCTAATCAAGAAGAAAACCAATGACCAAAATTTCTGTCATCCCCAAGTCTGAAAAAAATCCCAAAATGGGTAAGCTTAGATTGCATCCCTTCAAGAAATTATTATTTTAAAAAAACCTAGAATTTGAAAGAACGTTGAGTAGCTAGCAGGCAGACACACTCTCTATAGTTATTCTACAATCAAACCTCTTTCTGTAAAATCTGCACAGCTAACAAACAGGCAGGTGTTGGTCTAAGAACATTCATCAATTACTTCTGCACATGAATGGGCAAAGGTATTTACTGCATGAGGTTAAAGAGCTAAAGGACAGACTACGGACATTGTATTAATTGAAAAAATGGAAATGTCCATGTACTACATTTTGTGCAAGTTTTTGCAACATTTGCAACATTTTGCAACATTTGTTGCAAGTTTTTCTATGTCTTTTACACTGAGCAGTGTCACTGGAATTCTTGCCTGCAGAAACACAGATTCCTTCTATAAAAACAGTTGGTAACAAGACAATCTTGCCAGGTGCTGCTAAACATCCCACTGCTCCACAGCTTTAAAAGATAACAACTACGCTTTGGGTTAGAAAGATATTTTCCCTGTTATATGGTTGTGAGAATTCAGTTTTCTTTCTATTGTTTTCTTAAACGTGACACAAACTTTGACTGCAGCACAACTTTATATTCAAAGCCAGTGTAGTTGATATTACCACAATGTTTCATCAGGTTAAAAAATGAAGCATTAAGTAGCTGTTCAGAAAGTGCTCTTAACGGCACTTGTCCTGCCTCCACAAGCCTCTGATTAGCAGCACTATATTTAAAAAACATTTTGAGTTCAGCAAAAAACAATGTAAAACTAACATTAAGTTGACTCCCTCTGGCTAAAATAAGCAAATACAACATACTTGTTCCTGGCAGTCCCGTCTGGCTTGTTGTTCATTACTTAGAGCTGTGCTGGCTCTCTGAAGAGCTTCCTGAACTTCTGTTTGCACGGTTGACAGACTCTTCTTTAGTTCCGATAGCTACAGGGGTGAGGGATGGGGGGACAACAACAACAGAGCAAAAGAACAAAACCACGACTAAATGGCAGGATACTTTACAGAGTAATGAACGCAGCAAGGCTTTGAATGTAGATCGTCATGAACAATGTGGGGCCAAAGGGTGGTTATTTTAAGATTTCAGTTAGTTCTTCTTAAAAAGGAAGATAAATACTTTCAAGATTTTGACTTATTAACAAACAGAGCTCTTTCCTGGTAAAAATATATTACTGTTCTTTCAGAGTTGGGCCTGCAGTAATTCTAATTACAGTCACTTTGTTTCTTTCAACTCCAATACGAGCCCAAATATAAACTAGACAAATGAGGGCACAAACCATTCTGATTTTAGAAGATGTGCACACTACAAATTTGGTTTTGGCTCATGTTCCAAAAAGTTTTCTGAAGCCTTTCTCAAAGATTTTTACTCCAGGTTTTCTGCAAACTGTGCTCAAAGCTTGGGAAGACAGTGACAGCTTTAAATACACAATCAATCTAACAAAGCGATGAGATTAATGTATTACCCATGTTCAAAAGCCTCTCACAAATTTAGTTAGCCTTTTGTACTTCCTAAAAGATTTAGTTCTGGACACCGCCACACTGTGAAAATAAACTGAAGTTCAAGAATTGTGTAAAAGTACACTCTTGTGGATTCTCCACAAGGGAGTTTAAGGGACGGGGCACTCAGTGCGTACCTGTTGTTCCATGTTCTCCACAGCTTTACGCTTCTCCTCTTGCAATTCTTGCTTTTCTTTTTCTGACTCCATCAGCTTCTTTTCTAGCTGTGCTTGGTACTCTGATGACTCCTTCAGACGAGCTTCAACTGTTGCACGAACTTCTTCTGTCACCTTCATTAAAATCCATGACATTATATTATAATGTCTTCTAAGGTAACTTCAGGTTTTTTTGTAATTCCTCCCATAAGTCTACAGACTGTACTGTAGTACAAAAATAAACTCAAATTTAATTTTGTTTCTGTTTTTGCTCTAATAAACATTGGTAGCTACTTACTTGCTTTTCCTTATTGAGGGATTCCTCTAGACTAAGAACCATGGCTCTGTACTGTTCCACATTACTTGAACTCGTCTTGAGTCTTTCTCGCAGGTCATTAACTTGTTCGTCAGCTTGTCTTAGTCGACTAACAAGATCATCAACATCTTCATTTGTACTAGACTGACCTAGAACATTAGAATACATTAACCAGTGAAGTTTAATTCATTTTTTTTAAACCACTGTTTAGTCAAAAAACAAAGTCTTTTCAGGATAGTAACATGGAAAAAACAATCACCTTCACAAAGCTTCCCTGAATAAAAGTGTCAGCCCTAACCAAAATAGTGGCTTGCAAAAAACATTGTTGATTCAGACAAAAATAGTGTCTATTTAAAAATAAGTAACCTAACAGACCTAGGTTCTTTCAAATAATAGAAATCCCTTAGTAAGTTTTATTTTTTTTCCTTTGTCAAAGACCACTCAAACACTAATTTTAATTTAACAAATCACTCTGGTTATCAGGGTTTTTTGTTGGAACATGTGATTGCAATAACGAAGAGGTTTATTACTTAGGGCATTGCCCTCCTAATTCTAAATTATTATGAATTATGAATTCTACCATTCTGCAGACAACAATGTTTAACACAAAGAGAAATTCAATGTAGAGAAGTATGTTACCTTTCCCTGGAGCCCTCTGCGATGACTGAGATGCTAGCTGAGCTTCTGTATTGTTAAGCTGCTGTTTCAACATCACAGTTTCTTTCTGGGCATTCTTTAAAAGTTCCTTAGTGTTAATGTGACGGTTTGTCTCAGTCTCGAGCTGCCTCTTAAGATCCAGGATATGAACCTGAAAACACAAAGTTCTTAACTTGTAATTATTCACAAACGCCACAAAGACCAAATAGGTTTCTAAATTTCCCGTACGTAAAACAACGCACTGTAAGCTGGCACAAGTCAAGGAACTGTGACTTTCTTTTCACTGAACCAAGTTAAGCATATTTATAATTATACTCACCTCTTGATTTTTGGTAAGGGAATGTCTTTGTTCCACCTCACTTTCTAGTTTCTTCTTCAGCTGAGATATCTCACGCTCTAGCTTTTCTATCTGATTATTGAGTCTTTGTTTTGTTTCTGTCTCGGATCTCTCCAGTATTCCCTGATAAAAGACCATAATGCACTGTGCTTACGCCACACTTCAATAATTTCCTTCAGAATTACTACAGCACTTCATACAAAGTTGTCTCAACACTTCTCCCACTCACAAATCAATTATTGCAAGGGGCAAGCAATAACAGGAAGATATAGAAAATTATGAAAAGTAGCACTTAATGCATGACTTGGTTTTGAAAGGCGGTGTAATTAGAAGAAAATCTATTATCCATGCACTGTCATTCCAGAGGTTAAAAAACCGCAAAGGCTCTACTACAGAAATAGAATTCAGTCCCATGATAAAATTTGCAAGCTTAAATATTTGCACTCTAAAAGTCAATATACCTTATAATAAAATACATAAAAGTATATAATGTATCTCAAAACTATAAGAAAATAATCTACCAAGGCAGAAACTGGTAAATTTTGCTATCATAGAAGTTAACATACACATCTTTTTCCTTTCACTTTGTTTCACTTGTTTTGCTTCCATTTCATTGTGAAAACCCTTCTCATCAACTGAAAACTCTCAAGACTTTGCTCGGGTAAATACCCGAGTATCAGAATTTACAAAAGGAGTAACAAACTTGCTTAAACAAATTGCTCAAGTATGCTATGTTCAGTGTGAATTTGTAACAAATAAACCCCCAAACCCACTTTAAGACACAAACCCATGACAGTTTCATTGAATTTCAATGTGTACTTACTGAAAACTCTGAAACACATAGCACATACCTGAATAGTTCGCAGATTAGTGAGCAGCAAGTTCTGTCCTCTTTGTTCAACTAATAAAGACTCACGTTGCTGAGTCAAACGCATATCTGACATCTTTAGGATATCTTTCTCTTTTTTTAAGTTTTCTGCTCTCACCTTTAAGATAGTAATTAATGACAAGAACTTTGTTATCAGTCCCCAAATCTATCCATTAATTTTAATGTTAGTTTTATAATCAGTTAATAGTATGTTAAAAAAAAGAGCCTTTAAGATAGTAAATTAAAATCCGTGCAAATTAAACCAAGAACAGTAAGAACACAACTGTTTGGTTTTTCTGTAAACAGAAACACCTTTGGAACGTTGTTCCACCTACTTGAGGCATTTTGCGGATTGCTGCAAATGGACACACCAAATACACATGCACACAAGCTTTAAAAAATTTAAGAGCCGATGCACTCAAAAAGCCACACATTCAAGTTCTGACAACTTTCACAACCATCATAAGCAAAACCCTCATGGCTAACTTGGAATATCCTGCAGTGTAATATGCTGCATTACTAACCTCTGCCACTGCCAGCTTTTCGTTAGCTCCTCTCAGGTCTTGAGTCATAGTGTTAATTATCTGCTCTTGCTTCTGAGTTGTTGCTGTGAGCTTCTGGGTTCTTTCATGCAGCGACGTTATTTCTCGCCGATAGCCTTCAACGTTATCTTGCAGCATCTCATAACTTCACGTGGAACAAGAAAGCAAAGTATGTGTTTACCACATTAAACTGTTTAATGTACACAGCTCTACGTTCTTGTGGGTCAGTTTTCACATGTAGCTCACTTGACTAAAAGCTCTATTCTTGATCAACATCTTTGTCAGCGACATGGATGACGG